GAATTCATAAAATCCCATGTTTCATAGGGCACTGGAAAAGCTGTGATAAACAAAGGGGTGCAGATGTAAATTTGGGGAGTTCTGGGGGGCAAGGCACCTGCTTGTAACAGAGTACAGGCAAGGAGCAGAGCTTTGGTCGTCTTCACCTGTGCCCCATCTGTGGGTTATTGCCTCGGGTTGCATTTTGAGGATGAATCCCCTCTGTCTAACTGAGCCTCCCTACACTGCACACCCACCTTTACTACCTCCTCGTTAAAATAGGGTGTTACCTCAGCGGAGTCTTGAAGACAGGCATGAAATCGGTCCTTCTAGCTTTGGTTTCTACCTGTTTTCTCTGGCAGTATCATCTACGAGGTGACGGGGATGTGGTTGTTCGGGAAGCTGTTCTGCAAAGTCTGGATCTCCTTTGACGTCATGTTCTGCACCGCATCCATCGTCACATTGTGCTTCATTAGCCTGGACAGATACTGCTCCGTGGTAACCCCGTACCACTATTCAAAAAGGATGTCCCGTGGCAGGTGAGTGGGGGGGGACACCGCAGGGTGGGGAAAGCTGAGGATGGGCGGAGAGGATGCTGCAGCTGCTTTACAAGGTGGAGTCAGGATCTTTTAGGGATGTTCTTCCCATGGCAGCTCTTGCAGCGTACGATTTGCGGAGCACAGGCGGTCACCAAACCGAGGAGGGGGCTGCGCAGCGTGCCGTGTCGCAGAGCAAGCACTGCAGTGGTACTGAAGATCTGGCGTGCTCCATCCCTATTGCTCCTTAGAGGATGTTAACGGCCAGACGTTAAAGTTGAAACCAAATAGAAAAATCTAACATGCTGTTTTGTTAAATATTAACAAAAACCCTCTGTGAAACCTTTCCTCTTTTTTTTTCAGCCAGCTCTGAGCATCCCTTACACTGACCCCAGTTCTGTAAAGCAGAGACCCAATTACCCAGTCGTTAAGAGATGTTCACGTAAGGACTTGTTGTACCCCTGCTTTTTGCCTGCTCGGCCCCTACTCCAAGCCCTGCGGGACTGCTGCGCGGTGATATCCCACACAGGTTACCATGGGGATTGAATCGTACTGGATGTTCTCAACTCAAAATAACTCAGGCCCTCTCTTCCATCCTCATTTCCTCCCTTTCACAGATGTATCGTGATGACCTGCACGGTCTGGGTTTACTCCTCCCTCATTTCCTTCCTTCCCGTCATGCAAGGCTGGAACGAGATCCCCGGGGTGGACTTCGACGCAGCCAGAGAATGCATCTTCGTCACCAACTGGATTTTTGCCATCGTGGCTTCTGCTCTGGCGTTTTTTGTCCCCTTCATGGTCATGTGCAGCATGTACTTCTTCATCTACCGAGCTTCACGGCTCAAGGCCACTCGCATCATGTCTCAGGCCCTGGAGATTCACTACCACCCCAACAGCAAGCGGCAGAACCACCTGCAGCTGGAGAACAAAGCCACGCGGACCATCAGCATCATCATTTCAGTCTTTGTGCTGTGCTGGCTGCCGTACTTCGTCCTGAACGTTTGGCTCGCTGCCAGAGGCACCGACTCCACCAGCACCGTCTTGGTGGACGCCTTCAAGATCATCACTTGGTTAGGGTACTGCAACTCCACCATCAACCCAATGCTCTACGCTTTCCTGAACCGAGACTTCCAACGGGCCCTGAAGAAGCTTCTCGTTTGCAGGCACAGGTCTCAGGTGGACATCGGAGAAGACATGGTCTCCATAGCCACGTTTTCCAAGACTGCTCCAGACCTGGAATATAGCATGATGGTGCCAGTGCCCAATGGTGCCCTGAAGGGCAAACCCAAGTAATAGGGACGCAGAATTAGTTGCTGGAGGTGGTGGTACAAAAGTGCCAGAGCATCCTGATGGAAAAATAATGGGTAGGAAAAGAGGGGAAGGAAGGGCTGGAAGAGAACAGCTGGGGGCATACCACAAAGATGCATTACTTCCTCTTCCACAATTTTATGAATGAGGAATTTGATATTTTAGGGGCAATTTGTTGTAGCTAACAGAGCTAATTCCTTCCTGGGTAATTATTTTTTTAATGAGCATTTCCTAAGACAAATTTAATCTTTGTGCTGGGGAAAAAATATCCGTATGATAATGTGAACTTGTGTACATCCTGGTGATCTGCAGCTTCAGATGGGACAGTGTTTCCTTCTCACCAAGCTACCGTAGCCCTCATCCTGCAGCTTACATCACAGCTTCGACCAGTTTTGGTAACTCCACGGGCGTCAGTCTGCGTATGGGAGCTGGCTAGAGGGGGTGATCAGGGAGCAGCGGTTGCGTCTTTACACGGGCAGCAGCACACGGCCCAGCTGCTTGTGCTCTCCACGATCAGGGCTGATGCTCAGGGCTCAACTCGCTTCTGAAATACCGAGAGGTTCGGAGCTTTCCAGTTTCAGCCCTGGAGTTTAACGCTACAGAAGGGGTTCAGCGGGTAGGAGAAACGCTCTACATGGATGTTGTGGCTACTGTTCATTAAATCTAAAATCGTTGTTTCAGTGGCTTCCTCTGAATTATCGCTGAGTTTCCTTATTCGTTCCGTGAGGGAATAACCTATGTGACCAGACCCCAGGGACTGAGCAAGGCTGGCAGAAACATCTCTCTGTAGCACCGAGAGCACCCAGGGAGGTCAAAGGGGGCTCCAGGTGACGGATGCCAGCCAAACAGTGGATGTGAAGGGGAATTACTTCTTGCGTTTTGCACTTGTGGTCTCTGCCTTGATGCTGGGAGTGTAGCTACAGGGTACTGCTGGAGCACACAGCCATGAAAACAAGAAGATGATAAATGGGAATGGTTATTTTTACCATTCCCAAGTGCTTGTCTGGGCTTCAGATGGCATCGAAGAGGAGCACCTCCTCACGGGCGAGCCATGGAGCACCTCGCTGAAGGATTACCCCGAAAAGGCAGGACTGCAGCATCGTGAGTAAGAGCAGGAGCTGAGATCCCAGGACCACAGTTTTTCTGCAGCGGGGTCACGGGAGGGCTGGCGACCTCTCGGACTTCCCCGGCACAGTTCTGGTGAGGCCTCGCGCTGGTTTACGTGGGACAGTCACTGCCCTCACAAAGTGCTCAGACTGCTCTTCTGGGGACATGAAACACCTCAGGAACGGTTTCTAAAGTGGCTTTGTATGAGTGCTCAGTCACCTGGGACAGGCAAGGCTGCTGCAGCCTGGGAAGTAGGGCAAACACAGCAGAAAGATACCCAGGCTAACATGTTCTGCGAAACTACTGGAGTGAGGCACTCAGAGGGGGGAAGAATGTCACTTTGCTAATAAATAAAAGGAGTTAGTGAAAGTCCCGAGTCATTCTGCTCTTCCAGCTCAAAGGTAGCAAGAGGACTGCCCTCAGAGGTGTAGCAAAAAGCAAGTAGCTACTGCCTGGAGCAGCTCAGCTACTGGAGCCACCCGTACAAGGGTTAGTTCTCCCTCATGAGCCTGGTAGAAGAAAGAGCCGTGACTTGGGGACACAACACTCGTCATCCTGTCGTGTGACCCTTCATGGCATGTGTTAGCTCTCCCAGCTCCGACAATGCCAGTAACAACACGGAAGCGGTAAGGACACCCAACCCTGCCCTTATTCTGGGGGAAGCATACAGGTCTGGTGGGCACAAAGGTCGTTCACTTTGATTGTGGGGGGACTGAGAGATAGGCAACACCCTCTGCAAGAGCAGGCTGTTTAAGCCTGTAAACTAGGAAAGCACATTTATACAGAAACACTTCTAACAGTGGAAGAATTATCCCTTCTTCCCTCTCTGACAGTTGGGAGATTGCCTCCATAATCCACTCAGTTCAGGAGGGCTCAATTCCCGTTCTCTTGCAAACAGCATCTCACTTCTTAAGCGGCACGTTCACCTTGCATCATCACGTGTGCCGCGGCAAGCATGAGACAGGAGAGCAATGCAAGTGACAGAAACGCAGCGCCCGTCCTCCCGCTCCAGCTGCAGCAAGCTCCGATGCGGGCTTCCAACAGAAGCAACTACTAGTGGTCTGGGTTTTTTTAATAAATAAAAAAAGTTTATTAAATCATTTAGACTTGAAAGAAGTCACAATAATTAATGCACTCAACAATTACAGCAAGTGCATTCTGTACACCACCAACCCAAATGGATTGATCCTGTATTTTATAAATAAAAATTAACATATTTACAGTGAGAAATAAAAGCATGGCATTAGGCAGTTAAATTAGCAGATTACACAAATGCCTACCAGTTGATGTTTTTAAAAAGTAGCAATCTACAAGATTACATACGACACGTATGACTTCATTAGGTTTAACTTTTCATAATCACAACAGTTTCGTACATAATTTTTACTATGGCTCTTCCAACCACTGCCTATAAACCCCCCCTTTTTACTGGCAAAAAGCTCTTTTTCCTTCTCTAGGTTTATCGGTATAAAATGCATTCCCTAAGATCTACCATAGTGCAGAAGTATGAAATGATTTCCTCTAATGACTGGCTATGGAGAGTGACAGTATGTACAACTGTGGTACTTTTTTGCTTTAAAAATAGTGCAGATTCCCAGTTTACCACCAGGGACAAAAATGGAGTCATAGTTCATTTCAAAATCATCTTCACCAAAGAGCAAGTGATCCAGATAGATACTCACTAGGCTTAGAGACTGTAATTTGCTCTATAAAAATACAGTATTTTAATTCTATTTACATGTTACAGATCTCTCACTTACCCAGCAAGCTGAACGTTTACAAGCTTCAAAAAAAACCCAACAAACCCCCAAAAGACAATAATGGAGCACAACATCGGTAAGCGCAGTAGCTGGACCCATCCGCCTAGGAGAGTTAAGGTAAGAGAAATGGAATGTGAAAAGCGTGGTTACTGGTTTTCGTTGGCTGTCAAAGTAACATGTCTTATACATGAAAGATGGCAAAAAACGTTTAAGTAAACTAGTTCCAAGATAAACATTCTGCATCACAGGATCCTTCTGCTGAACAATCCCTGTAAAACCTGCCGAGTGGAAGAAGTGATCCTGAGGATAATTATTTGCTTGGTTGTCTGGAATGCTTATTTCCTGATAAACTCATTGTCCGTGACCTCTGCCTAAGCACTGGTTTTGGTGGGAGTTCCAAGTCTTCAAATACAGGATTTTCTATGATTGCTGCAGCCTCTGGTCTTTCAGTGGGACTTGGAGAGAGCATGCCCTTCACCATGGTGTACTGAAAGAAAACATGACATGTGCTACATGAACCAAGTGATAAATTCTTTCTTTCTTGATGTTCTGACTTTAACTGTGGCTATATGAACAAGTAGGAAATGTCCCCAATTGATTTCTGATTAATCTGGGTATTAGTGTTTTGGCACAGTGGTTAGAAGTGCATTAAACATTTGAAAATGTATCACTGTGCATCCATTAAACTACCTTTACTGTCAAGGGCTACAATCAATTTGGCAAATCAAATCTGACCCAAGATTCAATAGAGTTCTAAAACCTTGACATTATTTGCAATCAAAATAATTTAAAAAATATGAAGTATAATTTATTACTAACTTTTAGCTTCATGTTCAATCCATGCAGTAATTTTTCACAGTGAATTAGAGGTTTCCCTTTAAATATACAGGTAGTTTGAATATTTGCCTCAATTTTAATCAGAATTAGTGTCCTGCTCCAGCTGAGCACAGCATAGCACGTTCCCCTGAGGAGCCTGTGGCTGAAAAGCAAGAGAGCCTAAGCCTCATTTAGCTTGGTAGCCTGAAGCTCCCATGAAAAACTGAAAGCATCTCAGCGTTTTATTGGAGAGGTTTTGTACATCCCCTCCTCTTTATCTGCCACCGTGTCGCTGTAAGGATCTGCCTAACAAGCACGCAGCACCATTTGCTCATACGGCTTCCCGCTTGAGAACCCCAGTTCCTGAAGCGGGATTCCCATACAGCCATGGTGCTACCCAGAGCCTCCCCTTTACCTGTCTAGAACTCTGCACTTTCTCTCTGTGAATATGGATTTGTTGCAAGAAATCACGTCAGGATGAGTGTGAAATGGAATGACAGCAAGTGACAAAGGGAAGCCAGGTAACCTTGTATAGTTACTGGGGGTAAACTGTGTGACAGAAGTATCATCATCCACACTACAATGAGGGTATAGCTTTGAAGCATAGAAAAGTACAGGGATAAAGAAATGCACCTCAATAACATGAAAGCTATGCTTTTTTTCTCCACTTTTATCTGCAAAGCAATTGGAAAGCAAAGAAAAAAAGCTACCATTATTAAAGAAAAAGCTACAATTAACAGCATCAGATATACTTACCTCTTGTGCATATTTCTGAGTGAACAACGGTGGAAAATTCAAATTTCTAACATCACTTAAGGTCTGCAAAAAATATTTAAAAAAAAAAAGTGTATAGTTTCCAAAATAATATTATTCAGTAGTAATACTCTATTATTCCACAAAAAATATATAAACTTTGCAAACAAATCAGCCTGATTAAAAAATCTTGGTTTAAAGTCTTGCCTCAGTGGTTAAAAATAACAACATGCTTAAATGGGTGAGTTGCTGCTTCCCTAAGTATACAGCCTGCACTGGGAATCATGTTAGAAGAATAATTCTCTCTGCAGTTTTGAATCATCCAGATACACAAACTTGTACTTTTCTCACTTTGGCTCAACAAAGCCAGCAAATCTGGGCACGACCCAAAATCCCCAAGATCACCTACACCAGTATTAAGACACGTGAAATGACTGGCTTTGTCTAACAATGTAAGCGCTAGGCTTTAGTTAGTGTTTATGGTGTAACAAGCAGGTAGCTCGGCAGTTCACACTCTACTTCTGCGTCCTTGCAAGGTGGCTGCTCCCCTTCAGCGTTTCCTCCATAACAGGCACACCAGCTCCATCTAGTGACACTTTTTCCCATGTTCAGGCACACAATTATTCACAGCAGGCTACCTTATGACTTCAGGTTCTGTAATTTCCAGCAACCCTTGGCCCACTTTAGCATGTTCTTAGCGCAGATGGGCAATATTTAGCAATTTATTTATTTTAGGAGGGATCTCCTTTATAAAGGTTTGAGCACAAAATATAAGAACCCTGAAGTTAAAACAGAATTCAATTCATCATTACTCCTCCAAAAGTATAAATTGACCAGTTAATAGTGACGGGCAACAGTAAAACTCTGAGAGAACTGAGGTTTATGACTATGAAGTGCTTCAAAAAATTATTCTCCTTCTCTATCAATTCAGCCTGCATTTAGTGATCCGTTTTCAAACACCCAATTTGGAAATAAGGTGCGCTGCCGTAGACTGCTACCAGCCTGAGACAGAGGCAGGTCTCGCACTCCTCCTCTGAGGATTTTTCCAGCCTTTTGTCACAGATTCCTAGAATTTTCTGGGCTACCTGGTCAGGCAGAGCACGCTTTGCTCCAGCAAGCAGTGCTAATGCTTGGCTGATGCCAATGAAAACTTCAGCATAGCAACTCAGAAACACTACTGAAGTAGCTGAACTCCAGAACTTGACATACAGGGGTGGGGGTTTCTTTCTGATTTTGTCAAAAAGAGTAGAATGACAGTGAAAAATCATGGGAAATTAGGGCACTCCTTCTGCCCTCTTATGAAGTAAAGCATCAGAGTTAGATGTAATTTAGGGTTCACTCCGATTACTTGCTTTGCTCCTACACTTAGGACAGTAACTGGAAGGGGAAAGCTTGTAGTCGCTGCTGCAGGAGATCTGGAGCATCCAGCATTGCTCTGTATCGGGTATGTGTCTCAGTAAAATTGATTTTATTTAGGGAAACTGAAACTGGGTTCAGTACAAGGGGTTCAAATTAAGCACTGTCATTCCTCCTCTAGCCTACCATGAAAAGTCAGAGTGTGTTAAGCAAGAGAACACAACATCACCACAGGTGGTGTTCAGGATGTATTCTGGTATGGTTCAAGCTGCTTCTTCTATCTCTGCTAAAATCAATCCCTCTTCACATGAGAATTTAACCACCGCAATACAGATTTGTATATATAAAAATATATGTTTCAACCCTACCTATAAATGATAAATATAGGTTATGACTCTTTCTTTCCTACATAGGTCACTGGTCACCACAAAGAAGAGGAAAAACCTTTTCTGGCTGTAGTCCCTGTTCTCTATGAACTTGTTCCTGAGCCAGATGGATCTGACATGCATTCTAACAGCTGGGAAGAGTTGTTACACACCACCAAACCTCCCAGATTCACAGTGGGTGCAATGCCAGTCATCAGTTACTGGGAAGATTATGCTTGAAGCTGAGTGAGACGCACAGCTAAGACTTGCTACAGGAAAAGGAACGGCAATTTTTCACTAAGTGCATTTGGGTGAAAAAACACTGCAGATACAAATGAAGGAAGAAATTATCAAAAAAATGCACAGCATGGTTCCAGTTCCTGAATGAAAAACAAACCGGCAGGCTTAAAGTCACAAGCTATCTTTGTTGCTTGAGTTCTTGAATATCCTAGTTCAATAGTTTCTCTTACTTGGCTTGACAACAGAGGAGCTTTGTAAAGAAATTAAGGCCTCAATTCAACTGCACACATTAAGAAGACTGCAATTTATTTTCAGTGATTCAGGGGGTCTGTACAAGGCTGATAAAAAAGTTGTGCTCCTAATTGCAAGTTTTTTCAAAACTGAGAAGAATCTCTTCCAAGCGTTTCACCAAGAGAATAGCTATTTTAAACAAGTGATCAAACTGAGGACAGTCCAACACCATACATACCCTGACCCTCTCCATCTGCGTGCTGAAGGGATAAAGCAGCTCAAAGAGAATCAGTCCCAAAGAGAAGATATCCACCTTGTGCGAATAGGTGTTCCCACAGATCTGAAAATTGAAAATTAGGGTTACATTAATCAAGCTACTCACCGTATGTCAGTATGTACAACATAAACAACCCCCTTTCAAGTCAACATACAAAGTGATTAGCCCTGTGCCGTGCAGAGAACTCCAGGACAGGCACACTAGCAAACAATGAGTTTTGGGTGAGCAAGGTCCTGATCATCAGCTCCTCTTTGCAGACCCAACTGCAAAGTAAAATGTTTCAACTTCCACCTCATGTGCAGTAGTGTGTCCTTGCTCAATTGACTTGAGTATTATACAGCTGTCTTTCTACTACATTAAAAGCAAGATAAATGAATGCATCCAAGTACAAATCATTAGCCAATTTTTGCTGTAATAAATATATATAGTAAAATACTAATTTTGGACTTCAATTTAGCTTAAAACTCTACTTTGATGAGAAAGAATTTAAGTAACCTGTTTGCAACAATTTACTGGAAGGAGTGCCTGATCTTCGAGCTCCTGGGAATTCAGGTGTCTTCCAGGCACTGCCAGATACAGCTTTAGAGCAGAGAGCACAAACCTGTTCTGGGCTCATGTAGAGTTTGGTCCCTACTTGTCCTGTGTGCCTGGCATAAGCTGGCATTGGGGTAAGTACTGATTCCTCCTCCTCATCTTGGTCCATAGCTGTTACCAGTCCAAAATCCCCAACCTTTACTATGTCATCCATTGTGAAAAATATATTGGAAGGCTAAGAAAACAAAACAGGTGAAAAGAAAAAAATACATAAGTAATAAGTCTCTATGTTTCAGTAGATACAACATTTTGTTCTCATTCGGATAAGCCATGCTGTCAAGGGTAAAAATGCTCATTCAACGTCAGGTTAGCAGAACCAGCTAAGAATCTTTGCTATTCAGGGAACTCCTGCATTAACTTGTACCCTTCCCGACACTCGGACTGCTTATTCCTTGTCTTCCAGTAGAGGCTTACTAACACTACGTGAGTCTGATGAGTAACAGGCACAAAAGTCAACAGCTGCAGAGAACAGCACAGATAAGTTATCCATCTCTCCATCACATGGCAAATTCACACCAGATGCTGGAGTTCTGACTCTTAGTCTTTCTTATTCTAATCTCTGAGTGCTAGACACATTTGTCTTCTTATTAACCATCACGTAGTACGTCATCTTAATGTTAAATTATAGATAGGCTGGAAGCCTGGGAACAAAGTCTGCTTTTCAGTCTGCTGTGCAGTTTAACTGCGGGAACAGCTGTTTGCATAACAGAATTGAAAATTCATTTCTGATAGAAGCTTAAGAACTTTGCGATTCACAAGAGCAGCAACAGTGATGATCTGGCTTAACTCTCCTTTGCCAGGTACCACCATCCTTGCCTTAACCTCCTGATAGAAGGGACTGGACTGAGATGCTCCCTTGCTAATGGCACATATATATCATCAGATTTTTCAAGAGATTGGCATTCTGGCTGATAGAAAAGCACACACCAAATGAATGATTACTTCTTTGAAACGTGACCGCTCCACCTGAGTTACAAATAAAGACAGACACACAGTTTGGGGGGAAAAACAGACTGATCCTGCAAGGGGGCAGAAGCAGCAGGATTATGTACGGGGAGAGGGGGAAGGTGTGGTAAAAAGAGGCAGGTGGTGCTGGGCAAGTTCCTCTCAGAGCTCTTGGACCTTCAAGGCTGGGAGAACATGGTCCATGCTTTGTTGACATAAACCCTCGAACAGGAGGAAGCAGACAGATACAGGGCAATATTTTTCCACGAGATTAAAGGACTACAAAGCTGACCTATCTCAAAGTCCATCTGACTTCCTCAGTTAAAGACAAACCTGCCCTGTGCAACAGAGAAAGAGAGAAAAAATGCTGCTTCTTTTTTTAAGCAATGGACAGCTCTGAGATAAGCACTACAGAAACAGTTAGGTCTAACTTGTTAGGTCCACAGTGCACATATCCTGCCTCTGTAACTGCCTTCTGAGCCAGGTCTTACGTCCCACTCTATTTTCCTGTAACTAATGTTACACCCTTCAGAGTCATCACTCACTTAGTGCACAAAAGCTACTACCCTGCAAACCCACAGCATCTCCAGGCTCTCTCTGAGGCACTTAAACAGGACCCACCCTCTGACTGCACACCCATGTTGCCAAAAATCTTTTTGTATGAGAATTCTAATGCTGAGGACATAAAGAGGGATTTATATACCATTGCTTTGATCTCCATTTCCCTCCTCCTCCAACAAACACAAAAGTCAACAGATGCTAACAGAAAGTTTGACGTCTTGTACTTCTCTGGCTGAAAACAGACGGTCTCTGAATGGGCTGGCATTTGTTTCTACAGAAAAGGAGACTGGACGCTGTGCTACAGCCAACTGCAGCAGAAACAGGACATCAAACCCACATTTGAGAAAGAGGAAGTCTAAGGCAGAGGCACACAATTTTGATTTAAATCAGAAGAATACAACCACCCTCCAGTTTAGTTACCTTACCACCTGGACAAAGAAATTACGCTCCAGACTCTTCAATCAGAATAAGAATCCACTTTTTTTCATGGATATGACTAATCTACTCACATAGCTAGAGGACTCCTGTTTAAGTCAATTAATGCTGCAAAATGTATCGAAGCCTGTTCTCGCAGTTGTATGAAACTCATTGTTTCTTTTGAGCTGTCAAGCACAGCCAACAGCTTACCCTGGGAATAACAGTAAATCCACCTGACTGACTTCTGTCTCTGTACGTCATCTTCTTCAAAAGAATTTGAACTGTGACCTATTCACTTGCCTACCTAAATTCCTGCCATCTTGTCATTATGGTATCTCTGATAGCAGGAGCCTAATTACTGCATCTCAATGTGTGCTCTCAATTTAAATGTTTAAGAGATCTTGAATCTTTTAATCTGCATGCATAGAAATTCATTTTCACAAAGGTCAGTGAGTTTCTGTTGGTGACAATGGGAGCAAGAACTGGCCTTTACTATCAGCTAGCTCTGCCTCTAGCAAAGACAAAACAGCTTTGCAGGTGATTTGCTTGTTAGTGCTGGCACAAACTCAGCGCTGCATGACCAATCTCTTGGACAAATTACAAAATCAGGTGAGATCTGTTCCAAGGAACTTCTAAAAACTACAGAAAAACATTAAATATGCTGGCTGTTGTTTTGACCAAATTAATACATAACAGACAAATAAACTTCCAGGATCCAAGAATAACATCTGTACAGGCATGTGAAGTTTTCTGGTGAGGGAAGTTGTTTGTTCAGGGAAAGCCTTTCCAATTTGTTTATACCAAGTAAACAAAATTTCTTATTCAAATTGCTCCCAAAATTGAGCTTTCAAAATGTTCCAACAAAATGCTACACAACTGCTAATTAAGACTAATACAGCTTTAAGTGAAGGTCTACACAAGCTTTACTGAACAGTGATGTCAGTGAAGACTGCAGAGAGTCACAGCTGACAGTATTGTTAAGAAAGGTTATTAATTAACTTGTGTAGCAACATACTAGTATAGCCATTTAATTACTTTTCTGGTCAGTTTCTCAAGCACTAAAGATTTTTCAGATAACTGAATTCAAGGTAATTGCTTAATGCTCCTGGGGAAAAAAAACAGTCGGATGGGTTCACGAGTTTTTCTAACTCTGACATATCCTTTCGGTGTCACCGAATTTGAATCCCCTTTTACCGCCACACCTGAGGTGGAATTTTTATCTTTTGTTTCTACCGATACCAAATGTTTACCACCTGAGAAGCTACAACAACGGTTATAATCATTTCAGTATTTGCTCCACTGAGGTGGGTATAAATGCCTCCTCAAATAAGCAAAGAGAATCAGGAACTGCCTCTCCACCGTTTGGCAAAAGCAATCCATTTCTCAGAGCTTGTAACAACTTCAGCTGAGCACTTTAATTACATTCTGGTATTTGGCAAGACATACTGACACTGCCAGTGCTAAAAGTTACAGCAAGATCAGACACTAACATAGGATCAGAAGCAAAATGAAAGGTGCAAAAAGTTAACTGCTGACTGACTTCAGTTAACATTACACACCACAAGTAGAAACCACCTTTCCCACTCTTAACTGGCTGGATGTTATCAGATGTTAGAAAGATTATGAATCCTTCAGGAAGCTGTGTTATGACAGTTAGCATTTACTCAGAATTCAACTCCAGGACAGTTTACCTTTCAACCCTAGTGCAGTAATACTTCATTTTTACTTCCTCTAACCCAGAGTAACACTGCTGCTTTCAGGCAGTATTACTACCGAAAGAAGGAGGAAAACACACAAATTATCTGCTTCACTTCAAACGGTAAAACAGGTTCCAAATTAGGTTCCTTTGCCACACGGCCCAGCAATGAACAACCCTGTATGAAGAAGCTGAGCTACAAATGCCACAAAGCAAATGCAGCTGATCTGTGCCAGCTACAACTCCTCTTGCTGTAAGACAGACTTTAATTGCAATAATTTAATTGCATTTATTTACTGGATCACTGCACCTCCAGCTTATTGTACAGACGTTAACTCAGCTTTCATAACACCCGTGCTGAGGTCACTGAGAGTCACTGTTTTAGCAGGATTTGTCTCCAGTGTTGTACTGCTCTCATACACAAAAAACTTATACCAGTTTTTTACATTCATGATCTGTCAGTTTAAAGCAGAACTTGACACTAAGCTGAACAGTCTGATGCTGCTGTATTAGGAATCTGGAATAGCAGATACTCATATTTGTAATGCAAAGGAGGGACAGCTACCCTGTGATGCTGTTTGAGTCAGCCCATGTATTTCAGGAGTTTCGCAGCACCAGAGACTTTTGTACGATACCTTGGGCACAGATAATCTGTTATGGTATCTCCAAAGACACTCTCACTACTAAACCAGAAAACCTTTGCTTACAGAACACAGACAGTGAGATAATCAGTTACAACCAGAATTTGGAAAGTCGAGGCATTCAGTGATAATCATGCCAATAGATTAAAAAAAACCCCAACATGTCCTACAGCACCCTATGAATACAAACCTTGAGATCCCTGTGCATCAATCCTTTGCTGTGCAGAAAGTCAACCGCTTCGGCTATCTGCAGAAATATCTGCAGGCACTCTGTCCTTTCCCTCTCCTCTATCATGCACCTTCTGCTCATCCAGTCTTTAAGGTTCTCTTTCCGGCAGAGCTGCATCTGGATGTAAAGATACACCTTTGGGGAAGTGGGCTTGACTTTTTCTGTAATATTTTTAGAAAGGTCCAGGCTTAAACTTGTTGGCCTTGGTGGAGAAACAGAGAGGGGACTTCCTGAAGATTTCTTATCGGATTCCTTTGTACTTTTTGCCTTACCCTCAGAAAGGTTTTCATCATGGGAAACATCAATTTTGTCTTCCTTACTAGAAGCGTTTCCACAACCAGAATCCTCAAACACAATAGAAGAGGAGGTCCCTTCCCTCAGGTGCACAACAGGAACAGCTGGAGGACAAATCTCCAAGGAGTGACCCAGCTCGTTACTGTTGACAGTACTGTCTTCCACATCACAGCCTGTAAGGACACTGTCCTGAAGGTTTAGTAGTGGATCTTCTGACTGGTGTAAATCCCTACTGTCCGTGGCAGAAAATTCCAGAGGAGAAAACTGGCTTCCAGATGAATCGGACTGACCGCAGGGTATTCCCACGGACCTTATCCTCTCCGATGATGTGGCAATAACTTCAACGTGCTCCTTAGTAGAAAATGGCTCTGTTCTGATCTTAAATGATGGGACGTCCATGGGACTGGGTGAACTGAGTGGCCAATCAGTGCTAGAACAACAAAATCGAGACATCAATAGTACAGAACTTCATTTCACCAGAAATGCATTTTCAGAGGCCCAGGTTTCAACAACTGCTACCTCTGAAAAGATAGTGTCATACCATGTCAGTAAATAACCACTCAAGTGTGGGAATCACTAATAAAAAAGGATGCTAAATCCTGTTTCTTTGTGAGGGTAATGTTTTCTCATTGAGAGAAGAGTGTTGATAAAGGAAAATTTAGCAAGCCCTACTGCCTGGATTCCCAACATGCAATCAGGCTCATCTTCGACTCAAAGAAATACAGGCCTTTACAGTATGCATTGCAATGACTATTTAAAGTGCCTTGGAAGAATTACAGCTGTGAAATGTAAAGGTCGCTGTATTATAAAAATTGTTGTTGGGCATGTTGAGACTGCTGAACAGTCTTGTATTAGGCCTCATTCTTTAAATGCTAGCGTACACCCACTTCTTCCTTTGTCTTAACATCCTCTAAATCCTTTAACTAATTTTCCATTTTTAACCTACTTCTACCAAGTTTTATAAATTGACACTCTAATCACCCCTCACAGATTGATGCTGAAATAAATTCACTGAACCACTGGAGTACTGAATGAGATCTATCTAAACCAAGGCAACAAGGAGGAGGAAAGCAGTAGAAAGGAACAAAGAGGACAGAAACGCCAAAGTTTAAAACTGAATCACAGTAGCAATGTTGCAACTCTCCAACTACCCACAGACTCAGTAACAGAAGTTAAATTAAGAAACTACAAGATGTTTCCTAAGTTGAAAGAAGGACCTTAACACAACACAGGACCACAAAAAATCGAGAGGCACTATGCATGTACAAATGTGATATATTTGTGCCTTCTTCACCTGAGAAGTTGACAAAGTAAATTAATACCTATCTCTTTCCTACATAGTCTCTTCATCCTCCTGGATCAGCTACCAGTTTTCCAGTTCTCATGATGGACAACCTCAATTACAATTGTTAAAAAAACCCACAGGTTACCTTTCATCTTTTAACCACTGTTCATCCATCTTTTCCTGCCAACTCTCAGGTGGAGCTTCCAGCCATGCGTTGAAATATCGAACAATACCTGGATGTTCAAGTTTAGCTAATGCCTTGACCTCTCGCATCACCTTTTCACGAGCCAAGTCCCTAGGATTTGGGGTGAGGAAAAGAAAAACAGAGACACGGTCACATTAAGCAATCAAATAGCACAGAAATTTCTGCAAAGGAATTAAATCAAAGCTAACCCACTATAAACCAAGCCAGTACTATTGCTCTTCACACCAAAAGGCAGGTATGTCTTAAATTCCCCAGAGTAACTCCTTTAGGTTAGAAATGTGGGGGAGCAGTATGTGCTCATAACGACTAAGTATTTAGTCGTCCCTTTTCGAATAGTTACAAGCAGCAAAACTGAGAAGGAAAGGTTCATCTTGTTCTCAACTGTTTACAAGGATAGAGAAAAAAAAAGACCACTAAAAAGCGATATTCTACAGGGATGTAGAAGACACTGACACAGAATAAGATAGAGAGTAATAACTTAGTATTTCTTTTTTAATTGGCGTAAGATCAGGAGACTGCATAAAGACTATCTCCATTCTATGGGCAGGAAAGCAGGTGGCCTGCTGCCTGACTGAAGTAAAGAGTCTCTCTTTGTAAGATCATAACTGTATCATATGAAGTCAGATGGTTTTATTTAATGGGTTTGAATATGCTTGAAAAAGAAGAATTTAGGCTACCCTAAATTTCTGAACAAAATCTTTAAGATTAAATAGTCACACTTATTTTAACACATTCAAAAAAAAAAAAAAAAAAGTAATTCTAGATTTCATAGCTTTACCCCCTCCCTCTACTGGCCTGCCTGTTGCTGTTCTAACTTGAGATTTCCAGAAGCAGTGTCTCCCATCTCCCACTAAAAGGAACTGCTGCAAGCTCTGTGTAGGGTAATTCAGCAGCATGGCTTGACCACCTATGACTGAGAGAAAAGGTAGGGGTTGTGGGACCAGAAAATGAAACAAATGGAGAAATGGAGTCAGAAAAGCTTTTGGGAAAGAGAAAGAAAGAGAACGTGGAGTAGGAAAGGTAAGGAGAGGAAGGAGAGAAGCAAATTAACAGTGCTACAAATAACTGGTCCTGTTATCAAAGGCTCTATTCATCAAGGAAATCAAAGGAGCTCCCATGTAGCTGCAGCATCCTCACAAGGGTCCTGCTATGCAAGTATTTTAGCCAAGCAGGTCACCCTTCTGTTGTGATTATATATGCCAAATTCTCGATGCCAAAACCAAGTCAGCCCCCCCCCAATTAAAAAGTATGTCCTTCATCCTAATGTAGTATCTGGGAAATCAGTTCAGGAACAGATGGTTCAGTGTAGGATGGGATCCCACCATTCATTCATTACTTCTCAACAAACTCATTCATTACCTGTTGGGTAAGCGGATCCTTTTGATAGCATAGTTGCAGTCATCCACTTTATTTTTGGCTTCAAAAACTACTCCAAAACCTCCACGACCCAGACACTGGATTGGTTCAAAATCTGTCAGATATCTGGGAGAACGGTATGAGGAAGGGACGGAAGAATGGAGGGAGGACAGAAAAGAAATATGCATTAGTGAAGATCGAAAAATAAAGTAATTTATGACTAAGAGTGAAACATTTCTGTACAGGCAAAGCATGCTGAACAATTGAAGCATTTCTTGTCTTTTTTCCCTGCCCTCCCACTGACACAATCAGATGGTTACCTATTTATGAAATGAACAGTCGCTGATTATGCCTTTATTCAGTGGCCACCACAACCCAGCAAGAGCTGTTACATGTGCACATCACAAACTGAAGCAGCTTTTCACAGTATCAGGTTGCTGGGTGTTTTATCCTAAGTTTCTATACCCAAACTAGGTGGTGACAGCTAAGTACCTTCTAAATCATCACTTGCCTTTAACCCCACCCCAAGTAACTATTTCTGCAACTAGTCCTTCTAAGCATCCCTTCCAATTCACTTTCTCACCACCTTTGTTGCTCTTCCTCATTTTAAAATACTCCATTTCTTACTTTCAGTGAGTTACAAATGTACAGCAAACAGTCACATTTTCTCCAGAGTATCATGACATGCCCCTAAACACCTTTCTGTCTTAACCAACTCCTTCATCACAGCAACTAAAGCTTGTTCCAAATATAATCTGCTTATTCTGCAGAGTACCTAAATCATCAACTGTTTCCATCTGCAATTGCCTTGCTCCGCTTTAATCCATAAAGAGGGAGTAAACACGGATCAAGAACTTCAAGAATCAATCTTCCATCTCAAATATGACAGCAACATTCCCGGTCACAGGTATCCTGTCAACTCTCCAGGACTGCTTAGACTAATCATAACTGCAATCTCCCATCGGTAATGGGGCAACAGAGTTCTTTGTGAGCACCTCCTCTTTCCACGCGATAGCACTAGTTGCCACACTGACTAAAAACCCTGCAGATGCTGTGTTGAACTCAGCTCACCTTGACACATATCCAGAGTTCTTGACGTCATTCCAGCTAGTGTCTTTAACATCTCCACAAGCGGGCTCGTATTTACTATCGGTCTGGCACTGTGTCTCAGATTCCTTCCGCAGCTAACGGGGGTTACCAAACAAGAACAAAACAAAATATTCAAGTCCTAAAGTACTTGAGACCAGAGTTTGTACCCCTAGATATGGCATTAAATAATTTTACAGTGTAAGTATCTCCAAAGGCGTTAGATATGGTTGAAGCCGTCTAATCTGCTTGCTGAAGACGTTAAGCAAATTGTACATGGCAGCTGGCAGCCTTCACAGACAGATTAAACAATAAATTTAGGCTTTTGATTTTGTTCTCTCATTAGTTATTAACTTAGTAATACTATTCAACGCAGACTCAAAACAGAAAGACAAGGCTAAAATAGTATCTTCTGTATTTAGGATTCAGAAAACACACTTACCCTGCTGTAAGGATGGGGATGAAAAAGTTTGCGTACAATGAAAGTTGTGGCCACAATGCAGAATACAATGGTGCCAACAATTTCTTTCCACCAGTGAAGCAGGAGAACGGGATCTTTTTTGCGAATGTTCTTGTAGTTTGTATCATCAAAAAATCTAACAGTGATCTGGGTGCTACGTTTATTTCTCTCTCTCTTGTAGTAGGGTAAGTAATAACCATTATCTGTGTATGAAAGACACAAAGAGGGCATAGATTTACTTACAGGTAACTACAAACCATCTGTATTCTCATCAATAGGTTTCCTCAACAGACAGAGGGTATTTTTATTTGCATGTTCTATGACTTTAAATGGCACATCAACAGATTCAGTTAATCAAGGTTCTGGACTCTGTGGCAACTAGATCCTCCATCAAAGTTTACCACTTCAGAAGACCTGACCACTGACAGCTTTAAACTATAGTGTCTTGAATATGGAAAACTCTATACTGCCAGGCCGAGTCTCTAGCACTGTTGACAAATTCTAAAAAAAAATAATTCACAAGCTTCTTCCACTTGGACCAACTATCAGTGGCAATAGCAGTACACACAGTATGTCTGCAGCAGCGATTTCTGGCACTAATTTTAAATACACCAGAATTTGGAAATCCTAGTTTGGGCAATAATTTCCTAGTTCATTAAATGTTAAAAAATTACACATATTTAAGAACAAGCAAATGGCCATTTATTGAATTTCACAAGATCATAAATGGATAAATATGGCTATTTGAAACACTTCAAAGTTTTGAACTTCCACCTACCATATGGATACTGCAGAACGGAAAGTGCTCCATTACTGTACTCTTCATGGGAATACTTGTCATTACTGAGACACTTATCGAACTCATCAGACCCCACCAACACTGGAGTCCTGGAAGGAGAATCTAAGCATTGAAGAGACACAATTTTCTGAGCTGAATTGTTATAAAAATTCTGTTCTTGTATTAGTGTAATGAGAACTCTAATTGCATAGTCTTAGAAAATATCCTGGCTTGTATCAGGAACAGTGTGGCTAGCAGAAAGGGAAGTGACTGTCCCTCTGTACTGGGCACTGGTGAGGCCGCACCTCGAATCCTGTGTTCAGTTTTGGGTCCCTCACTGCAGGAAAGACACTGAGGTGCTGGAGCGTGTCCAGAGAAGGGCAGCGGAGCTGGGGAATGCTCTGGAGCACAAGTCCTGTGAGGAGCGGCTGAGGGAGCTGGGGGTGTTCAGCCTGGAGGAGAGGAGGCTCAGGGGAGACCTTATGGCTCCCTACAGCTAACTGAAAGGAGGGTGCAGAGAGATGGGGGTTGGTCTCTTCTCCCAGGTGAAAAGTGATAGGACAAGAGGAAATGGCCTCAAGTCATGCCAGGGGAGGTTTAGTTTGAGTATTAGGAAAAATTTCTTCACCAAAAGCAGCATTGTCAGGCACTAGAAGAAGCTGTTCAGGGAAGTGGTTGAGTCACCATAGGTGTGGTGCTTACAGATATACTTTAGTAGTGGACTTGGCAGTGTTGGGTTAACAGCTGGACTTGGTCTTAAAGGTCCTTTCCAACCTAAATGATTCTATGATTCTATTCTAAAATGTCTCTTGGACCAGACCATGAGAACCAAAATTAATACAAGGCAACACTTCTGCCCCCTGCCAAAATGCTACTTATGGACAAGTCAATTCACTCATATTCACACCACTGCAAAAAGCTTCTTCCTCTTTTTGTAGAAAAATTTGATTTAGAAGACCAGCATTTCATTATTAAAAAAGACCCTGTCAAATTCATAGTAAAAGAAAACAGACATTAAACATTTAATTAGAAAATAATTAAACTATTCAAAATGCACAAAGATAGTTCCTGAACTGGTTTACAGCTGGAAATATTAGATTGACACATACTGGAAATCAGAAAGACTTCCTGTCTTTTCAGAGCCGGGCCAGTAAATGAAACTCTGAATTGTTACTTACGGATTAAAGGTTTCCATTTGATTTTGGGAAGAGGAATAATTGCATTATCATTCCTGGATTCCAGAGCCTTTGGGTTGGTTGGGAATTTCTCAGATATTCTGACTGATGACTGAAGATAGAGCTGGCCCCTGTACATACCTGAGTAATAAACCATCGAGCGCATTAGTCTTAAGATCCAGTTCCCTTCACCGTCAGCATAAAATTGCCCAGTTAAAATAGATGGTTAACAACATTTTTGAAAATATTTCTTTATATTCTGATAATCCAAGGTACAGACTCTCATTACTATGCTGGATGGATTCAAATAATATGTTTCCTTTGATCTAGAAAAGCAAGAGATCAGAACATCTCATTTTCACTGCTGGAAAGCTGAGGCTGCCAAAAAAACGCCAGTAATTTTGAAGAGCTGTAAAGCTGCTCTGCACTGGTAAGACTCTTTTCAAACTTAGAACCTTGTTAATGCTTTACAAGCTACTCCTCAACCGCCATTACCAGTAAGGCTGGAACGAGCTGGCTTCTTCCTAATGTTACTCTTCATCTGTGTAACCACTAACAGGAATGGTACAAGGTGTAAAGTCTTATAAGGCAAATGAAGTCTTAGAAAAGTCAAAGCATGTTTACCTCCCAGAGACAGACAGACAGCTGAGGGGAAAAAAAAACTGGGGCCACTCTATTTCAAGTTGTCACAAACCACATCTGATTAATTCTGAGAGCTAGTTGAAAACTCAGTCACATAAAATCTTAACTGAAATTTCTTCATGGTAATTTACTGCAATCAGTGGAGAGGAAAAAATGAATGTGACAAATTAGCAGGCTAGGGGGAAATACTGCTTATTGCTTACCGAGCAATAAGACTGCCTTGTGAGCTATAAACCTATCTTTAAAAGTTTGAAGACTTTCAATCATCTCCAGCGTACTGAAACTACAAAGCACTGAACATTTCAGAATCAAAAGGAAAAGATTTATGGTTTTGAAATGTTTTTGTTTTGAAAAGGGGAAAAAATAAAGCTGGAAAAAAGTCTTTTTTTAACTATCACTATTTAGGCTAAACAGTAATAGATATTAATTCTGTCATAGCCAAAGGTATACTGTACCTTCTGTAACTGTCATAATTTCTAAGATGGGTAACACAGAACTCTGACTTTGAATGACAACAGCAAAAATTACCAGAGCAGGCCAGGAAGAGATGAGAACATGTTTCTACCTTTTGAAAGTCTTTAAATCAAGAGAAGGTGCCTTTCTGGGATATATGTGTTAGTGAAGCCTGAATTTTGGGGCTTCATAAAGTAATGTGGGTTAAATTTAACAGCCTACATTATGCAGAATATCAGACAGGACATATTACAGCTCCTCTTAAGTGTAATCCACCAGTAGGGAAAAATCTGCTTTACTACAACTTCAACACAGAAAAGGACAACATTTAATATAGACAATGCTGCCAAGTCATTGTCTCACCCAAATAGACACTGGATTCTGTGGCCCCTCTGGCAGCTTCCACAAGATCTTCTTCATCTTCCAATATCTCATTGTTTGCAGTGTAACTTGTGTCATCAAACAGACTGATTGGAATTACTTTGCCATCCTTAACCAGCCAAGCAGAAGCAATTGGAGTGCAAAACTGAAGGAGAGAGAGATAACTGGAAAATTAACATTACATTAACTAGGTATTATGTAAGAATAACGCTAAACAACATGCTTAAGTGTTTAGGTTTAGTATTTGCAACAGATGAAGCAGCTTAAAGTCAAAACTTCAGTTTAAAAAAATTGCAAGCAGATGTGTTCTTCTTTACAAAGACAGCATCTGAAACCTAAGATGAAAGACATCATCTACGTGCTGCAAAACTCCTACTTTTCTAACTTGTAATATTCTGACTTTTCCCCTACCTGGTATTCCCATTCTAGATGTCCTCCTCGTTTGTTAAAAGCCATCACCTTCCAGTCAGCTACTGAGACCTTTATCACTGTATCTTTCATCATCGCTTCCTGCTCGTCCACATCTGAAATTATTTTTGTCTCTTCTTTGTTCATATTTGATTTAAAATTGCTCTCGATATATCCTGCTCTAGTTTCAATATCCGGGACATAGCGCAGCTCGAAGTGACCAACGCTGAAATTCCACCTTAAAGAAAAAGATAAAACTGTTGTAGAAACAACTCATATTCCAAGGAAGTCCTAAATGCCCCATCCAAAAGATTCATAAACTGAATTACCTATATTTGGCCCGTATTTTCACAGTAAACTCTCAGACTGTCAGATGAACACAACTGTACCAAGAGAGGGAGTGCTAATCCAGAATACAAACTGAACAAGCTCAGAAATCTTGTCCAACATGATGCATGAGTTGAGAAAACAGCTGATGAAGTAGGGCCAATGGCATTAAAGGCTTAGGGCAATTAAAATCATAAAGTAGTTCAGCTGGGTCTCTTTAGGTAGGAAAATGCTATATAGCTGATGAAAGCAGCAAGCATAAAAGCATTTAGGAAGCAGGATTTGACACGACATACTTCTCTTCATTAATAAAGTGCATTTAATTGGAAACCTACAGGTTTTTGAAGCTGGGGGAGGGACAACGCTTTAATTTTAATCACACACACAACCTAACACAGAATGTCTTTGACAGGTACTTCAGGAAACCAGGACTGCTCATGTCCCATAGGTTAACACTGAAAAAAGACAACTGTGTAAGGAACACAGAGCTGCCCTGTGTAGCCAAGAGCCCTTTAATATTTGTAAAACAACAAATTAGGGCAGAAACTGAAAATTACTTTCAGAAAGAAGAGTATTTTTTTTTTTCCAAGATATAGCCCAATGCCTCAGAGAAGATACAGATGGGAAAGGATGGCAAATTTGGGTCTTCAACACCAAGAAGGGGGAAAACAGTTTTTGAACAGTGTATGTATGGTTATCCAAAGTTTCTTAGGACCAATCTGGCAACCCGCAGGACCAAACGGCCTCCTTGAAGAGTTTACACCCTTATGGTAAAAGTTTTGCATATATTATGTAATCAGTTGATTTATTAAAAAGTTTTTTTCCTCTGGGTTAAAAACCTAGGTCTATCCCATAAACTCCTTAGCAGCCATACCTTGTCACACGGAAAGCACCGTTTGTGACTACAGACAGGAGGATTCGGGTGTGCAAGGTGTCATACTGTGTTTTTGAAAGAGATGTATGAAAGTAAAAATCACGGTTTTATGACATACCTCTCCCTGCCAGTCTGCGTCTCCAAGAATTACAGAACCCAGATTCCTCTTTTCAGACACCTAATCTACATGAGTTATCTCCAGTACACTACAGATGCACAAGCTGTCACATCCTGCTACAAACAGAAGAGGGAGCAGAGGAGCAGGAAATGACTAGTTCTCCACTAAATACCTGGGCAGATACTCTGTCTATGTATGGCAACCAGCCTTTCAAAACTGTGTTTTATGAAGTGGGTTTGGCTTTTGTTTTTCTTTTCAGTAGAATGCGTGTCTGTATTTTCATAGAAATCTTGATGTATTAAAACTTCAACATGACAGCATTACGGAAGTCACAGACTGAACCAGTTTCAACCAGTTTGTAAGAACAGACCATCTACATTATGAAATGAGTAAAGTAGATTTAAGAATGGGACTTTTAAAAAATAAGACTGAAGACGATTTAAAACGTCAACTGAAAATGAAAGCTAAAAGACATCAGGTATAAAATAAGCAGTGACAGTTACCCTGAGTAGATAAAGAACTTCAAAGTGAATCAGTAAGTCGTAAGATGACTTTTAAAACTGTCTCCTTTTGTACAAAAATCAACAGTTAGAACAAACATTAGTGACATTTGCCTTGCACAGTAGAGCAGGGACAAACTCATCTGAAGTATGCAAGGACAAGGAAATGATTTTCATTTGATTTAGAGAGAATAAATAAGTGCACATATCTTTCCTGTCTGATCAGCTATAAAACTGAAATTCAAGACATTTTTCAAAACCACTGAGGAGTAAAAGGGTTAGTTCCCAGCCAACAATCTGATGCATTCCTGTGGTTAACAACCTAAACTCCCTTATGCAATTCCCAGTCTGATGAGAGCAAAAAGAAGTTTCAATCCTTAGGACATTAAGTATTAAGAACTTAGCTCTGTCGGATTGTTTCTGAACAATTCTTACACTCACTTTTCATTGCCACTGCGTGGTCCAACGGCGCGGACTGTTTTCTGGGTTCGGCGTAATAGGAGTGTCTCTTCCTGTTCTGTTTCATCGTCATCCCACCGGCGACAGCCCATAGCTGAGCAGATGTACTTTACCTAAGGGACAAGGCAAGAGTCACACATCCTTCAAAGTTCTAAAAACTGCAAGACAAACAAATGTAATCAACAGCAATATTCCAAGCTAACAATCCTTACAACACATTTTTGGCTCGCAGGCAATGTGCAGCTCTGTGATTTTAGATGCCTGACTTGAAGGAAGTTGAAACGCCTGGTTTAAGAGATAAGGGCTTTTCAGAACAACAATTTTCAAAATATTCTAGCAACTCTACAGTTTGGGCTATTCTGACTACCTTTTTTGCATGTATTTCTACTTCTAACAGAAAGAAATCTTGCTCTTTTCCCACCATTTCTAAGGACACTGAAAGAACATGCCTACAAGACCCGCAGCATAATTCTACTTTTGTGCCATATTTGCCTCAGCATAACTCTATTTGCTCCAAATGAAGTACCACTCATTTATATAAAATAGTTGAGAGCCCTCTGCCTTATCAGCTATTAAAGGGGAAAGAAGACCTTAGTTAACGCTCACAGTGACACAGAGTTTGCAACAGTTTCCCATCTCAAACAGAATTTGGATTACATGGGCAACCTGTATTTGGAAAAGACAGTTGAAGGCACTTTCAGGAAGTCTGAATCAACATCATACTGCCAAAGACAACAGACTGCCCAAACTCTTAATAAAGAAAAGGCAGGCACTATTTCCTGCATGGGGCACCTTTGCTACTGTGAGCATAAGCCAGGAATCAAAGCACAAACCCAAATTTCCTCTTCCTGAAGAGTGGGGAAGGAGCAGTTTGTTGGTGCACACTGCCCTCTGCTATCAACAAGGAAATCAAAATTATTTCAGGAACTCTTGTTTTGGGTCTATGCTCTTTATCACTAGTGATCACTCTACACCATGCCATAGAAGTATTGTACATTAAAATGTTAAGGTCAACATGAAAAAAAATTATCAAAAGGGTTGAATCCTTTTATTGTTTTCAGCCAGCTATCCCTCGTTAGTTGTGAAAAAAGTGTGTCACCTAAAGCTTTCTTTAATATTCGGTAAGCTGAACAGCAAAGTCTACTTCAAGCAAAGCTGTATGATAAAGCTGAACTCATCTTCCAGCTCAGCAGAACGGGGTCATCCCTCCTTTTTCCCTTCGCTCACCTCTGATCACAAAACTCGCTGTCCCTTTCCTTGTGCTGGATATATCACTCCCTGAACCCCTTGCTGAGCCGGCTACATTTGCTAACCCAGCATAAAACTAATCCAATAAAAAGTGAACAGTTTTCTGGTGGGTTAGCAAGCTGCATCAGCTTAGCAAAGGGTGGGCAAAGTGTTCAAGCCAGCACAGGGGGGACAGCAGCTCACAGGCAGGAGGAGATTCCAGTGAGGTGCTCAGCCATACCACCTAACTGCACCAGCCCCTAGCCTTACTCCAGCCTGCTGCATTTGTTGCCCCAGAAGTTCAAAATCTGCTCTTTTGTGCCATGCAGTTGAATACTTACCCTGTACCGCAGTTTAAATCTCAAGAGCAACCTCCTTGCAAAAAGTACTCAAAACACACATACGCAGGGCAACTTTTCAGGCTCTTACCTTCCCTGAGTATGAGCTCAGCCCATAGGTTGTTAAGGACTTTCCCCCAACTAAGACAACGTCCTCGCCAAATTTGTAGGATGACTCGAGAAGAGATTCAACTGTGAAAGGAACTGCTTCCATGCTCTCTCGATCCCGATCCCACTGGAAAAGGTCCCCGTCCAAGGAAGGGATTATCATCTTATTTCCAAATACCTAAAATAATTGAAGTTTAGCTACCAGTTAACCACAACTGTATCAACACACAGATCACAAATGGAAACAGAAATGCTGTACGAGCAAGTACACTGCTTTATATTCCAGTGTCCTATTTTACAGATTTGTATCTCAGTCTTATTTTTCAAAGTTATCCCAAAGACAGAAACTTTCAGGCATTCAAATCAAATCCTGATTTCACTATTCTTACTTAAAAACCGGTTCAGTGTGTGACACTTCTACTTTAAAACTGTTTAAAGCTCAGTCAGTTGACAGATTAGTATTCATCCAAACTGTAGAAAATATGATATGGGGAGAAACATTCCTGAAGAGACCGGTTAAAGTGCAAGCTTTGCAAATTACTTGTGATAGTTTCATGATAGTGGCGTTGTAGGTAAAGTTCTACTTCAATGGTTTGGGGTTTTTTTCAGAGCTAGTTTACTGATAAACACAGAATCAATCATTCTCTCTGGATCAGAAGACTAAATTCAGTTTTAAAAGAAAGCTGAGGCTGTATGTGAACTCATGCAGTTAATGACTACTCCAGAATACCTATCCTCTTGTAAAGCAGAGGAAGCAATTACCATTCAGATCAGAGCTCACATTTCACTGTTGCCTTTCCAGACAGTTAAATCTAACTTCTCCTTCCCAGAATTTCTGATGTTTAAGTATACGGTTCCTTTAAAACTTGGCCGGCTGCTTCTTAAACACACAAGAGGTTAAAAATAAAACAAAAACCCAAACCAAACCATCTTCATCAGGATACGGCACTTCCTCCATTACACTGAGATTTTCAAGGAGATCCTCGTTCGGAAGTATGAGTCATTGTCAATGAGTACTAAGGGACTTATTAAGAAACTCATTATCAGCATGATAGACCATAACTAATACTGTGGAGCCACAGTGGCTGTGCCCATCAAGAACAGTGAGAATAATCCACATAATCTTTGCTTTTGAGGGTATGGATTAACATGGAAGATTTTAATGCTTTTCTACAACATCTGTCCATTTGGGCAGTATCCTACAACATAACTGCATTAAGTTCAGATAGCTTACACATTAGAATTTAAATGCTACTTGTGGTACATGAATATTAGTCACTTCAAACAAAATACCCCTGCTCAGACACCAAGGCACAGATGTGTATTACAAAGCCACAGAAAAGATCCAGAAGGTTTCTGGTTATTATTTCTGGAACCACTGTGAGGATCTGAAACCACATCTTCTGCATGATTAAAATTTTCTCTAACATGAGACACTTTATTCTTCTAACTGGGTCACAGATGAGCAAACAGCATCAAGCAAAGTTGGGATTCACCTCTACAGGGAGGGAAGCATAGATCGTGTGTGTCATGACTAATACCTCTTCTTACACTGTTTGGCACACCTCAAAGAAAAAAATTAGCAGAGTTACTCGACAATGCTGGTGACTGTATTCAAGATCCCTAAAGGATCCAACACCGATTCTTTCTGGCTTTGAAAAGCCTCATGATGACTGACAATTAAAATAAAAACTCCTCTCAGGAGCACAATGTGTAATTGAAGAGATGACAAAAATAAACCCCTGAGAGGAGCTGCGAAGTTCTTTACAAAGCAAAATGAGGTATGTTCTTTGCCTCCCAAATATTTACCTTATGACAAAAAATGCCAAACATCCTGGAAGAGACATAGCGTGAGATCTGCGATGCACAAGAAATTTTGCATTATGACCTACCACTGGGGAGGAAAAGTACACACATGGCTCTATACATACGCTTACAGAAATAAACCAACAAAAAACCCCAGAAGTTTGTGCAGGAAGAGGTCATTTGTAGAAATCACCTGATCAGTGGAAAAATAAAGCAAACAAATAAGGTTTACATAAGCATTCATATTCAAGAGCAGCCTTGTGATCTTGAGAAACAAAGGCATGCAGATTTTGGAAAATACCTTTTTAAAACCAGAAGGTGCCAGTGCCAAAGTTGCAAGTGTAACCTTGGAGTATCTTGTTAAAACATTCAACACAGAAGAGTAATATCATAAAATGTTTTTGTAATATATTCATAAATGCGTAATAATTTTGGTGACAACTTTTAGCCTATACAGCTGTTATTTTGCATTAACAAATCCTCTGTAAGGTTTCTTCCTGCACCTGTTCCAGATACCTGCAAGTAGTTTGGAAGCTCATGCTCACCTCCAGCAACATGAGATATTCCATATATGAAGAATGAGCAGACAACAAGGTTCTTTTTACAAGCAGCTTTCTAAACACACAAAAGCCAAACCAGCTCCTGGACTGCTGTTTCAGCACACAGAGCCCAAGCCTGGCAAACCCTACTATGACTTCAAGTTGGATCCTGAAGAAACTCTACTGGCCATCAGCCAGCTAGATTCATACAGTGCATGCCAGCAGCAGCTAGACAGCCACTTGCAGGTCCAGACTTTCAGATACGCTTGCTAGAAGCCACAACTGCAGTGGCTTTGTAACGTGGCGTGCTCCAAGGGCTGCAAATCACTTCCATCAGGTTGTGAAGAGAGGAGGCAGCGATGCAAACTGCCCAGGATTCACTGCTGAGCGAGGGGGACTCTCAGTAGGTAACCCCACAAGATTTGGGGACATGTCCCTCATCCTGAAGCTCTTGCTCCAGGGTCTAAGAAGGAAGTTTTCCACTAGCAAACAACAGGCAAAACACTGGCCATTTCTGGGAACCACACACCCAAACTCCCAACATGCATGAAGCTCACTCAGCAATCCACACTTGTATACTCACAAGATACGGGTCAAATCAGGTCACGGCTTGTACGCCTTCAAAAATTCCCTGACAGTGGGGCACTGCCTGCTCACCTGTTAAAACCTCCGTCCCCATAAGCTGCGGAGGACAGACAAGACCGTTTCGGTCAGCTCTGCTGATCACCTGCCCATGCTCCCAAACTTGGTGCCCATGGGAGCAGCATGTCCTGTGTGACATTGGTAAAGAAAGGCTGAGGAAACACGCAACTGCTGTCAGTGAAGACATCGGGAAAGGGACTGCAGGCAGCGGGAAGAGCTGCTGCACTCAAGGACAGTGCCAGAGTACAAGCAGATGGGGTTAAACTGACTGTGAGTAAGCACAAGCTAGACATTTCAGTTGGTAACCATCAAAAATGTGCTATTTCACAACAGAACAGAGTTTAAAAAAAAATCACATTCTTTTAAGATGAATCTATCTATAAATGGGATTATATGACATGGTGCTGACAAGGGACTGCACCTCATCACCACAAAGATCCACTTTTACTAAAACAGCTTTATTTGAAGAGTGGGGCAGCTATGCAAATGTGTATACTTGCAGGTGCAGCACACACCCCCATAACAAAAGGCATCTGTGGGCACGTGTCTTGACATCTTTTAAGTGAGCAGTTCAGCCAGAGGCTTTAGAAGGACATTAATAACAGCAACTCCAAGTTATGCAGCTCATTCTCTAGTACATCAGAAGCAGCAAAGGGACTTTCCTTGAAAGTGCTAGCAACTAGCATCGGCATGCAGCTCAGGTAAAGGAATGACATCACCCTGTATCTCAAAAGCATTACCTCATCTCCTAATCCAAGGAGTGAGTCACCCAGGCAGTCAGCTGCAAATCTCTTGGCACAGAAAATGTAGGTTACCACGATGCACTTACACATTCCTCTGATCTGTCAATGTAAATAGCTATTTGTTCAGCTTCACTGGTCAGCAATATGGCACATAATTGTTAAGTGGCTTGTCTTTCAGAAGTAACACTTAAAAAAAACCCCCACATTAACTATCGAGCCCTAAATGAGCCGCTGCTCTTTTGCTCATTAAGAGTTTGAAGCTGAAGTTCTCCATTGGCTCTGCGCAGGGTGCCGCAGCCCTATCAGCGACGCTGGCTGCTCAATCTCCAGGCCGACGGGTGAGGTAATGCAGTTTCTAAAAAGCCTTCACAAAAAAGCAAAAAGGCATAACGATCCGAAATGGCATACGCTACCAGGGAATATGCTGTCTAGACTCTTTACTGGAAAGGAGGGCACCGCACGCGAGGTTCCATGGCAGGTTAATCCGTGCAGGAAGAAAGACGCCGATTTATAGCAGCGGAGGGGAGGGAAAAAAAGGAAAGAAAGAAAAAAATTGTGTAAACAGAGATCAAAACAAGCTGAAGTACTAAAGCTTCCATGAGCTGTTTAACAGCAAGTGTGACATTCATTTCCCATGCTTAACACTTATCATATGAAGCAAAAATCAAGCCTGCTCACGTGCAGACACATGGGAGACAGGTCTGGTGCCAAAACAGTCAATATTATCATTTTCAGATGGGCTGGTGTTTAAAATCAGCACAGCTGGACTTTCCAATAATGCCAAGACAATAACTAAGCACAGCTAAAATATTTTCCTTAGAATAGGAAGTGTTATGTCTTTATGTTTTTCTAACACTTCAGTTTGTGGTTTTCAAACCTTACAATAAACTGCAAGAGCTTAATTCCAGTTACTAATTAACTAAGACTATATGATCTTAAGTGATAAAGGTACTACTTTTTTTCCTCTATGACTATCCCTGCAATAGGATCACTGTAACAAACAGGATCAAAGCCAACAACAGGCATGTTTTCAAAGCTACTTCTCAGTAAGAACTGTTTCTTTTAAGCCCCTTTAAAATTAATGTAGGCAACAGCGCAAAAGAGTCATACAGCAACTACACTCTGAAGGGCAGAAACAAGAGTCTGCCAAACAAAGCCTGGAAAGAGGAAACAATTTTATGTCCCACATCAAAAAAGAAATTACAAATCACAGACACAGTAATACAGGTACCCTACTATAAATGTTTACAGTTTTTTCAGGTGGGATAAACACACGCACAGGGCAAGGTCTTGAGATGTCCCTAGTTCACACTGGTCTGTAACCTATTTATTGTCTGCTCTTTTTCGTTACACATGCAGGGACATATCCGCACAGATGCACTGGTTTATGACCTCCTCCCAATCCAAGAGGCCCTTTGCCTCAGCTTTGATTTCAGGATGTTGATTCA